TTTAATCTGGACAGTAGGCAGGTTATTGGAGCATTAGCAGGTTATGTGAGGTCTTCTCCTTTTTTCTGGTATGAGGTTTGATATGCGTTTTGATAACTTGTGTTTTTTAGACAGGTATGAGCTTCTGGCCTATCTTGGTTTAGTTCTGAGTTATAGAGGTGATATTGGTGCTTGGCTCAATCAGTATGTTTTCTTGTGTTATTTTGTCTTTTTTCTATTGGTCTTTGGCGCCCAACCTTATTTCAAACTTTGGTCTTCTCTTTGATCCACGCTTGCTGGGTAGTTTGACAAAATTTCTTGGCATCTTTTCCATTTTTGGTAACTGTCCATGCTGTGTAGTTTTGAACAATGCTGAATTGTGTCTTCTTTTTTGTATATCTTTTCTGTCTTGTTATACTGCCTATGCCTAAGACCTGAACTCTGCTGCTTTATCTCTCTTTTTCCTCTCCAAAGTACAGTTTTAGAGTTATTATATGATTTTTATTGTACTATGGTTCTGAAGGGGCCCCCTCTCATGCTGGGAAATGATGAAAAGGATCAAGTTGCTTGCATATACTTCTCTGCATTTTTATCCTGCTTTTGACAGCTTTGCTACACTTTTTGCATTTCTTTGATATCTTGGGATTTTGACTGTGCAGTAATTGTACTTCCTTGATTTCTTTGTGATATCTTTGAGTATATTTTGGCATTTGATAGGAAGTGGGAATTGGATTTGAACTAATACAGTTTTGAACTTTGGATTTGAAATTGAGATTCTATGCAGCTTGAATTTGTTAACTTATGCTTTTGACATTTGCATTTCATGAATAATAATAAAAAAAATCTTCCCTCTCTGTGAACCGGGAGAAATCCCGTGATTTGCAGAGAGGGTCAACTGATCCCAGTCAGTGGCCCCTAATGATGAGCAATTTTAACTGTCTTTGATTAACTGCTTTCTGACTTCCTCTTTCTTTTTGCAGATAAAAAAATATGGAGCACCGGCATGAAGTGGAGAATGAAGAATTTAGAAATAGGATAGAATTTTTATTTTCAGTTTAATTCTTGTACATTATTATTATTTAAATACTTTGTAATAAATATTAGTATCCAAATAATAACAATTGTAACAATTATTAAATGTGAAATAAAAATTCATTTGATATTTAATTTTCTTTCAATTCCTTTTCTTTAATTGTTCATTTGTTATTTATAGTTCCTTAAAATAAAATAAAATGAAGGTTTAAACTTCAAATATTTTAATTCCTAGAATCATAAATAATCAACTAAACCTTCAATGATCAAAATAAATGAATTCGACATATCCATTATTCAAAGCAACGCACAGTCGAACACAAAAACTTAATCAGATGCAATCCTTTTTTTTCACTGATTCTTTTACCAAGCACTGTAACTCCACATTGCACATATCCCTTTTGACTGGTGAATTCAAACCAACTGCCTCATTTACTGATTAAATCATGATAATGCAAATTTTAACCCGAATCTCGGAATAAACTGCAAAGTGTGGTAGAATTTAAATTCTTCTGAGAATATGCCCATAAAACCTTAATTTCTGATTAAATGCTAGATAACGCTCGCCTAATCAAAATTGAACCAAAAATCATCCCAACCCTAAGCCAACTGTATGAGACAAATCAGAGCTCTGAACATCAGTAAAAACCCTAATTTTGCTTGACTGTCGAGAAAAGTCCGTTTGTCCGATTCTTGAGCCAGTTTGGAAAGTCAGGAATGTTTGAAGCTGAGATTTCTTGGGGAAAAATGCGAGGGCAAATTTTGGGGTACAACAATCACAAAGAGAGTTATATTTTTCATTCTTCTTATTTTCATTCCATTTTGTTTGCATAATATTTCCTCTCTCTTTATCTCTGCTTCTTTCATTCTTCTCCTTTATCCAACACAACCCAAATATCCTCCGCCTAACCTCCATAATAAACGCCATGGTTCATCACAAACGATGAACTTCCATGGGGAAATTCATTACGTTTTCCAGATTTCATGACCCAACCCTAATAGCCCTCGAAACAAACACAAAAATTATACAAGCTAAGTTAATTTTACCTTCCTTTGTCGTGATTCCTCTATCTTTGGTCTGATCTCCTCTTCTGATCTCCTTCCTCTTTTCTATTTGCATGTATGAAGATGGAGGCGCTCAAGAGCTTGAAGGATCTAGGGTTTGGAGGCGACGACGGCTTATCAGATATAGGGTTTCAGAAATTGAAACTCAGATCCCTCTTCTCTTTCTTCTTAATCTTTTCTTCCTTTATAAAATTTTCCATATCTTTATCCTATCAAAATTTCTTCCCCATTTTCTTTAGAAACTTGGGGGTTTATATAGTGTAAATTAGAGAATAGATTAGGAATTTTTGTTATGATTTTTGTTATAAAATTAGGTTGATTTAGAAATTAGTGTTATAATTAGATTTGATTAGATTCAGTAATTGATACAACACCAAGATTTAATTTTTAATTTGATACAATTTTGAAAATATTTGATTCAATCTTGCTTTCTGAGATTTGTTTCAATGATTTGATTCAGCTATTGATTATGCGTTGTAATTGATTTTGTTAATATTTGATTGATTTCGATCCGTTTTTGATTTCATATTCCTGGGCTTTTTAGTATTTATGGACTTTGGTGACTTAGGGTACACGATGAAATGGGTAGCTTGGAAATGAAGGGTGATGAATGGCTGCCGCTGGCTTGCAAGATTAGGGCCATTAGGGTTTTCCAATTTTGACTTCAGTCAACGAACAATAATATTTTATAAATAATAATGTTTAAATAATAATAATAATTTTAATAATAATAATTAATGATTAAAATATGATAATAATAATTAATAGTATAAATAAACAATAAATAATAGTAGTATAGATAATAGTTACGATAGGAATAACAATTAAATAACAAATCAGTAAAAAAATGAAAGTGGACTATGGTTTAAAAATTTTAATGGGCCTTCCAAAAACATGACCCAATATGTTAGAAACAATTCTTTAAAAACACACCTCCCTTATTATCTAAAAACAAAAGTATATGGGTTATCAGCTGAATGAGTCCTTCAGATTAAAAATGAGACAGAAAATCTGAAAACGCACACCCCTTTTTTGTTATTATGAACGGACTAAAAGATTTAAATGGGTCTTTCTTATTTAAAAAGCTCATAAACTCTTAATTGAATCACACACTCTTCTAATTATTTATAATAAAATAATAATAAAAACCTTTTAATTTATAAATGGAACCAAAAGCTTAATGGGCCATCAGATTTTGATGGTCCATAGTACACCTCTCTTATGATTTTAAATCCCTATTAAAAAAAGACTTAAAAACAGGAAAATTTTCACAATATGGTTTATAATTTATAAACATAGTAATAATATGATCATGGGATTTGATGGGGCAAATTTGGGGTATGGCATCGAAGCTATGATACCACTTGTTAGACTACGGTACCGGATCTAGAGGAGAGTGAATAGATCCCCAAATAAAAACTGCCTTTCAAAATGATTAAAACTTATTTAAAAAATAATGTTGAGCAGAAAATTTTTGACCAAACATAATGATAAAATCAATTAATATAATTATTAAAAATATTATTTTTATTAATATTATTATTAATATTATTATTATTATTATTATTAATATTATTATTATTATTAATATTATTATTAATAATAATATCATTATTATTATTAATATTATTATTATTAATATTAGTAATATTATTATTATTAATGTTAGTATTATTAATATTATTAGTATTAATAATAATATTATTATTATTAATATTATTAATATTATTATTAATAATATTATAATAATAATAATAATTATTATTATTATTATTAATATTATTAATATTATTAATATTACTATTATTATTATTATTGTTATTAATATTAATATTTAATATTTTTATTTTTATTTATACTATTATTATAAATATTATTATGATTATTATTATTATTATTATTATGATTATTATTATTAATATTATCATTATTATCATTATTATTATTATTATTATTATTATTATTATTATTATTATTATTATTATTATGATTAATATTATTATTATTATGATTATTATTATAGTTATGATTAATATTATTATTATTAATATTATTATTATTATATGATTTAGTATTATTATTATTAATATTATTATTATTATTAATATTAATATTAGTATTATTAATATTATTATTATTAAAATTATTATCATTAATATTATTAAAATTATTCTTATTAATATTATCATTATTAATATTATTATTATTATTAATATTATTAATATTATTATTATTAATATTACTAATATTACTATTATTAATATTAACATTATTAATATTATTAATATCATTATTATTAATATTATAATTATTAATATTATTATTATTATTATTATTATTATTTATATTAATATTATTATTATTATTATTATTATTATTATTATTATTATTATTGTTATTGTTATTAATATTAATGTTATTAATATTATTATTATTATTATTATTATTAATATTATTAATACAATTATTATTAATATTATTATTATTATTATTATTATGATTATTATTATGATTATTATTATTATTATAATTATTATCATTATTTTGATGATTACTATTATTATTATTATGATTATTATTGTTATTATTAATATTATTATTATTATTTTTATTATTATTATTATTATTATTATGACTTAAGATTAAGCATTATAAATATTAGACACTTGTTAGTCCACAAAACACCATGGACACTTGTTACTTTGGTATATTGCCACCCTAGTTAGCTTCCAAAAAAGCTATTCATGCATTGCTTTGGTATATTGCCACCCTTGCTAACCTCCAAAATAATCATGCAAGCATTGAAATATAATTATGTGTATGAAGATGTCTCTATAAATTGCAACACACAATATTGATTCAATGCAACTTAAAACAAAGCTCTCATAATAAATAAATGTAGCTGGTTTTCTTTTGATCAAACAATGGTTTCTCTAAAACTCGTATCTTTGGTCTTCTTGTTTGCCACATTCTGTACGTATTTTATTCATCTCTAAACACGCATATTCATTTATGTCTATGTTGTTCCAATCTTAGTTAACTTTGTCAATTCCAGGCATGTTCGTGACTAAGAATGTAAGAGCATCAAACTGTAACGGGGTTTGTTCCCCATTTGAGATGCCTCCATGTGGATCTAGAGACTGTTGATGTATCCCTGTTGGTTTAGTTATAGGTTATTGCAGATATCCATCTAGACTTTTATTGAGGACGAATGATGAACACCCTAACTTATATGAATCTGATGCCGATTGTGAGAAAAAGGGAAGTGGAAAATATTGCGGTCATTATCCTAATCCTGATATTGAATATGGATGGTGTTTTTCCTCTAAATCTGAAGCAGAAGACATTTTCTCTAAGATTACCCCAAAAGACTTGTTGAAGAGTGTTTCCACTGCTAAATATTGATATTCAGAACAAAACCATGTATGCAAGACATGGTGAACCTATCTAGTCTAGTACTTTAAATAAAAAGTCTTTGTTTCCAACATATGAGTTGGATTTCTTAGATAACCATCCCAAATTTAAATAAATCTTCCATGTGTATGGTTCAAGTGCTGTAATATATGTGGCTGCTTTTTATTTATAAAAGTATTCTATATCAGAAAAGTATCACTTATAGACTTCTATTTTGATTACTAAACCATAAAAATTGACCACTAAACACTTCATTTGTAAAATTTGATACAAATAATGAAAAAATTTACATAAATATTATAATTATAATACTTATATAATGGTATCAAAAAACATATAAAAAAAATTCCAATGAAAAAAACCACCATTCTTTTATCTGTTGATAAAAATATTATAACTTTTTAATTCGAATAACGTTATATTAAGCCTCAAGATTTAAATTTTGGTCACTCTTCTATAAAATTTGACCACTGAATAATTTTGTCAATAAATTTAGAGAATAATCTATCATATAAGATTGTTGAAAATATTACTCTGTCCATCTATTTTCTACGTGGATGTCTTAGTTGAACTGTTTTCACTTTTTTTTTTTTGTTAAACTAAAATGCTTTCTCTTTGCATTAGACTTCTATTGTTCATTTTGGTCTATATATTATCCAAGTATATTATTTATTCAATGTCTTTAAAAAGTAAATTTCTTTTATAAATAAGGATGTAGGTGGTTGAGGCGGGTTGTTATCTCTCTACATTTTCCTGTTCTGTTCAACCCTTTAAGATTTCAGGACACAATCATGACACACCTTCTGTGTCCACCCCTGGATCTTTCCCAATCCAAAGGGCATCAAAACCATTGTTACAAGGGACCTTCATTATCTCATCCTACATAACCGCTTTTCCATGCATCCTTCTGTTATGAATTACTTGGATCCAATTTCCAACTGAAGGCTCTATCGGGTTATTAGGGGTAGTAATGACATTGGAATTGCTAGGCGAAGTTACCTTTGGTACTATTTGGACAGACTTGGCCTGCAACGGTTTCCATTGCTTCTTCTCCTTTAGCTTCCCTTTCTCACATTTGTGCCCCACCTGTTGGCACATTTCACAAAATCTGGGCTTCCATTCATAAACAACCTATTTCTCAACACTATCCATATCCTCATCTTGGATTGTTATATTCTCCGGCTTTGGCTTCGTGATATCAATCTCGACTAGAATCCTCGCATATGAAATTATTAGCTTATTGGTTGTACATTCATCCGTGAGTAATAGCTTTCCTATGGCACTCCCAATTTTCCCCAAAGCTTCTGCTCCTCAAAGGTAAATAGGGAGGTTTGGCAAGGTTACCCAGACTTGAATCGTCCTTATCATGTCTTTTTTGAAATCAAAATCAGGATGCCAATTCTTTAGAATCATTGGAGCATTAAGTATGGTTTAGGGGCCTCGCATCAAGACCATCTTCTTATCCTTCTCTGACTTGAAACACATTAGGAAATAGCCTTCATCGTGGTAAAATAACTCCGGCAACGTGACAAAATTCAAGTATCTCAGCATGAATTGTTTAACTGCATTCATGCTCAGATCTTTTCCCAGTGAATACATTATTGCATAATTCTTTCAGTACAGAATTTCCTCCTCCACATATACGTTCTCTATGACAACAATTGGCTTCCCCTCCACCACCTTCGGCGTCGTAAACCCAAGGACAAGCCCATTTGCAGGGATACGATTACCACTAATCACATCTTCCCACAATTTCCTTTCCATATTAGGGATCATATTTTCTACTTGCACTTCTTCAGTTGCTTCTGCATCAATTTGCTCACCCCATTCTTCCCTCATACCAACAACTTGCTTCTCTTCTTTTCTTTTTCTAAAGTTGCTTTTGCTCTCTTCACCATCCTTACTAGCAAAATGAACCATTGGCGTAGATGCCTTCTTTTTTGACCTTCCACGCCCACGACCCATCTTCTCTAGCTAGCTTCCTGTTGGAACCCTAACTTCCACCGGAAATCGCCAGAGCCAAGAGCTCAAACAACCTTATTATTATTATTATTATTATTATTATTATTATTATTATTATTATTATTATTATTATTATTATTATTATTATTATTATTATTATTATTATTATTATTATTATTATTATTATTATTATTATTATTATTATTATTATTATTATTATTATTATGATTATGATTATGATTATGATTATGATTATGATTATTATTATGAATATGATTATGATTATTGTTATTATTATTATTAGTATTATTGTTATTAATATTGTTATTAATATTATTATTATTATTGTTGTTATTAATATTATTGTTATTGTTATTAATATTATTATGATTATTATTATTAATATTATTATTATAATAATAATAATTATTATTATTATAATTATAATTATAATTATAATTATTGTTATTATTATTATTATTATTATTAATATTATTATGTTTTCTGGAATAAAGACTTGTATTAAACCAAAAACAAAAGGATATACGGCAATCACAAGGATCCAGCCAGCCAAAACAACAAAAGAAACTAAGCAAGCATTAATCTAACAATCATACTTTTTAAAAGATTACAATGCCAATCCCTGAACACAATATTATCAATGATAGATTTGATCACTTGATTCAAATCCAATACCGAACCAATTCACGCACTGTTTTGATACAACCAAGCACCATAGATTATTTCAGCAATGGCTAGTCTAAACAAGCAGGATCTCCACCCTTTAACCCTTGCCATTCTTGATGATCCAAGCATGATCATCCTCCCACGTCATGGGCAGTTGATGATAAATCTGAATCCACTCAAGCACCCCACACCAAATCCTCCTAATGTTATCATATTCAAAGAAAAGGTGGGAAACAGTTTCAGTTTTAGGACATAAGCAACAACTATTATCCGTAAGGAATCCAAACCTACAAAGGCGACTTTTAGTAAGAAGCTTCTTGTGGTAAGCCAACCAGAGAATCACCAAAGCTCTAGGCATAGCTTGATTATTCAGCATCAGCCCATTCCATATAACCGGGTGGTTGTCAACAAGAGTTAAATAGCAGTGGCACATACTAAAATTCCTTTTGGAAGACATGTCGTTCCAAAGAAGAAGATTAGACTGAATGAAAGGCCTCTAGTCCAAGACTTTACGCATAATCCAAGTACTAGAAGATTTAGTCATAACCTCTATGATTATTATTATTATTATTATTATTATTATTATTATTATTATTATTATTATTATTATTATTATTATTATTATTTTTATTATTATTATTATAATAATAATTATTATTATTATGATTATGATTATGATTATAATTATGATTATGATTATTATTATTATTATTATGATTATTATTATTATTATTATTATTATTATTATTATTATTATTATTATTATTATTATTATTATTATTATTTCATGAATAAAGACTTGTATTAAACCAAAAACAAAAGGATATACGACAATCACAAGGATCCAGCCAGCCAAAACAATAAAAGAAACTAAGCAAGCATTAATCTAACAATCATACTTTTTAAAAGTTTACAATGGCAACCCCTGAACACAATATTATCTATGATAGATTTGATCACTTGATTCAAATCCAATGTCGAACCAAAGCACGCACTGTTACGATACAACCAAGCACCATAGATTATTTCAGCAATGGCCAGTCTAAACAAGCAGGATCTCCACTCTTTACCCTTGCCATTCTTGATGATCCAAGCAAGTTCATCCTCCCACGTCATGGGCAAATGATGATAAATCTGAATCCACTCAAGCACGCCCACATAAAATCCTCTTAATGTTATTACATTCAAAGAAAAGGTGGGAAATAGTTTCAGTTTTAGAACAGAAGCAACAACTATTATGCGTAAGGAATCCAAACCTACAAAGATGACTTTTAGTAGGAAGCTTCTTGTGGCAAGCCAACCAGAGAATCACCAAAACTCTAGGAATAGATGGATTATTCAGCATCAGCCCATTCCACATAACCGGGTGTTTTCAACAAGAGTTAAATAGCAGGGGCACATACTAAAATTCCTTTTGGAAGACATGTCGTTCCAAAGAAGAAGGTTAGACTGAATGAAAGGCCTCTAGTCCAAGACTTTACGCATAATCCAAGTACTAGAAGATTTAGTCATAACCTCCATGATTATTATTATTATTGTTATTATTATTATTATTATTATTTTAATTATTTTAATTATTATTATTATATATTATTATTATGATTATTATTATTAATATAATTATTATAATTATTATTATTATGATTATTATGATTATTATAATTATTATAATAATTAGTTATTTTAATTATATAATTATTATTATGATTATTATAATTACTATAATTATTATAATTGTTATTATTATTATGATTATTATTATTATTATGATTATTATTACTATTATTATTATAATTATTATTATTATTATTTTATTATTATTATGATTATTAATATCATGATTATTATTATTATTATTATGATTATTTTTATTATTATTATTATTATTATTATTATTATTGCGATTATTTTTATTATTTTTATTATTATTATTAATACTATTATGATTTTTAATATTATTATTATTATTATGATTTTTCTTATTATTATGATTATTATTATGATTATTTTATTATAATTATTATTATGATTAATATTATGATTACTATTATCATGATTATGATTATTATTATTATTATTATTATTAATATTATTATTATTAATATTATTATTATTATTAATACTATTAATATTATTATTAATATTATTATTATTATATTATTATTAATATTATTATTATTATTATCCTTATTATTATTATTATTGTTATTATTATTATTATTATTACTATTATGATTATTATTAATATTATTATTATTATTATTATTATTATTAAAATTATTATTATTATTATTATTATTATGATTTTTTTATTTTAAACAAAGAATACTTTATTGAATCAA